TAGGGATGCACGATATATCGGCCACCATATCGGTTTCGGCCGATAAATGCTCATTTTTTCTGTTATCGGTATCGGCCCGATAAGAAAATTTGGCCGATATCTTAAAGCCAATAAATAATGCTTTATTTCCTTCAGAAACACTTGACATGAGATGACTTGTTTGCATTATTTATGCATTATTTTATTTATTTGTAAGACTTTTTATTATGACATTTGGTAATAGGAGAGTAACATTATTTTAACAACGTACACTGTTCAAACGAGGCTGCTTATGTTGAAGTGTTTGGGATGTGGCTTTTAATGATGAGACCTTTTTTATAATCAGGCTCTCAAAAAGTATATAAAAATTTGGATATAGATTTATCGGCCAACATATCGGTTATCGGCTTTCAAATAAAAAAAATTATCGGTTATCGGTATCGGCCAAAATGTTCATATCAGTGCATCCCTACTGTTAATAGTGTTCATCGTCTGTTTTATTACGTCTTTAACTGATTTTTCTGTACATTTCTGCCATATGTACATTAACTGACAGTCCCCACTGATAAGCTACCACTAAATATTGTAGAAACTTAATTTGCTGTAAAGTTGCTTTGCAACGATTTGTATCGTGAAAAGCGCTGTACAAATAAACTTGACTTGACTATTACAGTAAATCACACCAATAAACGAAGAATAACAATATAAACCAAACCTATACTAAATACTGTATACACTTTTTACTTAATATTTAAAGGCGACTGAATAAAAAGGAAATAAAAGCAAACATTCTCAAATTATTTCAATAAAAACACTCGTAAGCAGCAGCAAAAATGACAAGAAATGGCTTATTTTAAAATCTAAACCTAGATTAGCTTTTAAAAACACGTTTTTAAATATTGGTTTGTATAAAGCAAAAGTAGTCAATCAACATTCGTGATTTCTCATGATAGACTGCAAGAGACTTGTACAGGCAGCGCAAGCAGAATAGCGAAATAACGTATGACAACAACTTACCAAAATTCAACAGATGAAAATATGAGTTCAGTGGGGGGGGGATGATCTAAATTTGACTTCACAATATTATTCCCCGACACTTCCTCGTTCGCTTCTATGTCGGTGTCATTCAGAGTCGAGTGCGGAAGTGTTTCTGATCCGTAGCGCCTCCAGCGGACTGGAGAGTCACTGCGGCTTCGGCTCTGCAACCGTGCCGCCACGACCTTCTCCTCCAGGACCATCAGTTCAACAACAACAACAAAAACCAAATTAAATACAAAACACGTCAGAGAAAGAATAACGAGACAACGATATATAAACATACTTATTGTACCTCAAGGGTCCATTTGGTTCAGTCAACTGAATATCTGTCTGAATTACAAATCCTACTGTAAACAATTAGTCATTTTAATTAGAAAAGGCAACAGTCAAGACCTTTTAATTGGTTAACGATAAGTTCCCTTAACATATACAGTGAAAATATGTAATAGATCTAACCTTAGATTCCATGGTTTACAATAAAATAATAGGCTACTGTTAAATGTACAGTTTGTGGAAGTGAAAATGTATATAATATATATATATATATATAATATTTGTATTTATTTTTATATTTTTACAGCTTCAGATTCAAAATTTAAATAATAATCCCTAAACTTTGTGGGCTTTATCCAGAATAACTGTTTCATTTATATACGCATACAGCTTCTCCAAAGCTGAGACTAAATAATTGTGATGGAAATTTTAGTCTTCTTAAAGAATTTTTGTCTAAAACCATGTCACCAAATAGTGTAGCACTGTAGTAATGATCATTAAAATGAGAGGATTTATGAATAATTTATTTATAAACAGTAAGATTGATCTTGAAATAATCTCCTACAGAGATAGAGAGTCCAAAATAACCCAAACAGGAAAAGATCTAAGAAGACAGTGGGTGGAGACGACAATCAAGAAATGTGTTCAGCAGTGAAGTGGAGAAGAGCAGGGTTTGATCTGGATGTGCTTCACATGCCCAGTGAAGAGAGGAGGAGACACTCAAACTCTCTGACGGCACGCTGGATCACACTGGAACGCTCTTAGGAAGCACTTTCATTCACCTGCTGAGGAGGACACTACCTGAAACGAGCTCAGACGAATGATGGAGGTGAGTTTCTGGAACAGTGATGAGATTTATGAAGAATCTGAAGCAGAAAAACAGCATTAAGCTTTGTTTTAAACACCAACTTTGTAAAGTGGAAACCGGTTTAACAGAATTGCTTTTTTAAGTATTGAACGTAGAGCATACTTCAGCAGAAATCAAGAGCGTTTTAGTCACAAAATGTCATTTGTAGCAGTGCTGAGAATTTATAATGATCACCACTTTCAAACCAAACTCAACTCCTGGCAGATCTACAGTAAGCAAGGTCCTGAAAGCATATAGTTAAATTATATTTATAACTGAATGCTGAGAACAACAGTTTGAGAGTTTCTTTTCTCACAATGAGCGACATCACACAGCAACAGGAAGTGCAGCTACAGGATGTGATTGTTTCCTCCCCCCACCCTCAGGACAAAGGGGTGATATAGAAAACAACAACACCCATATTGTTTTATATGGTATCATGATGAGTTTGTTTTGATGTATAAAGAGAGAGAGAAAAAAAGATTTTAGATTATACAACAATAGATATATGTTCAAAATGAAGACAACATACTATTTGGATTCTGTCTAGTTGTTAGTGTTCAATGTCAGCTCCTCTTCATACAACAATAAACAATAATTTTTTAAAATAATAATAGGGCCCTATGAACTATTTTTTATGTATCTATTTATTTATTAGAAATTCTGAGTTGTCTGTTTTAATTTTTTCTGAATTTATGATTTAATACAGATTTATTATCAAAAACGGTAGTAATAAGATGAAGGCACAAAACATTAAAAACATTAGTCCTTAAAAAAAGTTGAAATAATTGTATTATTATTATTATTTTGAGTAGTACATTCTACTGTGCAATAGTAATATATTGTCAAAATTTCTTTAAGTTAAACCGGACTTTTATTTTGACGGGTTGTCGTAAAGACCTGTGAATGATGTGATGATGGTATTTTTTCTCAAAAGAAATGGTGAAAAGCTCATCCTGCTTCAGTATGTGTGTAGCAGATGAAACCGTGACATTCCCCTGCCCCTACGACTGTCCTTGCAGCGTTTGAGGAGAAAATGTCAAATAGTAATAGAAAACATGTTAACTAGAGTGAAGAAGAGTCTGTTTCATTCTCACCTTTATAGGATTCCCTTTATCTGGGGTTTAGAATCACCCAGGGTTAACTATTTGAACTGTGAAAAGCCTTTGGATGGACATTTTGTATCTAATGAAAGTGTTTAAAGACTTTTTGGGCCACTGTAGAGTGTCATCCCAACCGAACTCAAGTCTGATCTAAAGTGAAGACTGGTTTTGCAGATTTTCTTGCAATATTTCACTAAGTGTCAAGTTCCTGCAGAGCTTGGACAGTCTGGTGTCAGCAGACTCTGAACTGACGCAGTGTGAGACGGAGGTCAACACTTTACTGAAGATCATTTCTGACCTCAACAGGAAGATGGACTCCCTACAAATACCACGGTAACCCCTGCCTCAAACAATTGTAAACTAAATATATACTTTCTTGCTCTACACTATGTGAAAAGGTCTGTGTTGTCATAGAGAGATGGAAACGTCGGAGAGTCCAGTCCGGGTCAGTGGGAGCGTCCCGCAGCAGGGCTCGAGCCTCACGGCGGTGCACGCTGGCACAGCATCTGTGGAGTCCAAGAACATCTGCAGGGACTCAGAAGGCATGTGTGTTTATACAATGCCTCATCATCAATCACAGTAAATGCGGTGTCAGAATGGACAGCCTGCTATTTACTGTGCTATTGGTCCTGCCAGACTTTTGTTTCCAAATGCAAAGCTACTTATTAAACTTTAAAATAAATTTCTCTGGGCACATTATGACATTTACACATGCAAGTATTTTTTTTCTAAATGAAGACTCCTGAGAAATTGTATACATTTTTATGTTGTGAGGAAAAATAACACTAAAAATAAAAAACTTAAGTAATTCATGAGTTGTGTTCATAATGGTGTGCAAACAACTAAAAAGTTATTTTTTATTTATCATGACTGATATTATTATTGTTGTTAATAATAATAATAATAATAATAATAATACTTTTGTTTTAATAATAAAATAATGATCATAAAAGTTTTGCTCATAATGAGTTTTTTTTGGTGAGAATGAATATGGATGACGTCAGGAGGAAAAGATAATACTAAAAAACAAAAACATAGTAATTTATTACTTGCACTCTAAAAAGGGACAAACCCAGCTATTGGGTTGTTTTGACCCAGCGGTTGGGTTGTTTTGAAACAACCCAATAGCTGGGTCAAAACAACCCAACCGCTGGATCAAAACAACCCAACCGCTGGGTCAAAACAACCCAATAGCTGGGTCAAAACAACCCAACCGCTGGGTCAAAACAACCCAATAGCTGGGTCAAAACAACCCAACCGCTGGGTCAAAACAACCCAACCGCTGGGTCAAAACAACCCAATAGCTGGGTTTGTCCCTTTTTAACCCAACGCTGGGTTATAAGTCGCTTTGGATAAAAGCGTCTTCTAAATGACTAAATGTAACTGTAAGTGTAATATTTAACCCAGCATTTTTTAGAGTGTGCTTTTTACATAATGGAGTGCCAACATCTAAAACGTTATTATTATTAGTAGTAGTAGTATTAATAGTAATAGTAGTAGTAATTATTCCCATTATCATAATTATAATATTTTTATATATCATATAAATCATAATTTTTATATCATAATTTGGGTTATAATAATAATAATAATAATTAATGTTATTAATACTAATAAAGTTCAACATCATTAGTGGTGTTTTGCCACATTTTCTTTTGATGAGTTTTTTGTAAGAATGAATATGGATGTTGGGAGGAAAAAAACACTTAAAATCAAAAACCTACTGAGTTTTCTTCACAATGGAGTGCAAACACCTAAGAGGTGTCATGTCAGTCTTATGCACACCCCTTCAAGTAAAGTGTTACCAGAAGTTCTTTATGAAACACTTATTTAATAATAATCATCATCATCATATTTTTAAAAATAAAAACTTTTGTACAGAATACACTAAAGAATGATAATGATAATTGTATTTTAATAATACAATAGTAAATAAAAAATGTATTCAAACAAGAATTTGGCTCATAACTAATTAATCATTGTAATTATTGATAAAAATATAAATGTTGTTAATAATAATAAAGTTCAACATCATTAATGGTGTTTTGTCACATTTTCCCTAATAGTTTGCTTTAATATTTTGTTTGTATTTGTTTTATTAAGTGTATCTGAATAATAATAATACTGCATAACAATTTGGAAATTTACACACAAAAAAACCCCCTCTGTTTTTGCACAGGGGGCAGCAGTGGGCTTTGGAAGGAGCTGCAGACGGCTCTCTCTGCTCTTGAGGCCTCTAGCGGTCAGGGGAGGAACATGCTCAGGCTGCACACTCAGAATGCTGAGACAATCCGGGCAAAGCATCTCTCTGCAGCCCAGGAGAGCTGGGCTCAGGCCACACAGGTGCCGATGTAGCTCCCGCCGTAGGATCCTGTATGTGCATCTGAACGTCCCTCAGCTCTGATGTGTGTGATCTGCCCCAGGTGCTGGAGGAGATGGAGACGGATTTGGGGATCTCATACCCCTCTGCTCTGCCCCCTGATGAGAGACGTCAGTATCAGCGGGATGTTCTCTCGCTGTACAAACACAAGCAAGACCTCAACACCTCCTTGAAGAGCCGACAGGCTGAGCTTGTGGGTGCTGAAAGAATGCTGATGGATCTTGAGGATGAGAAAAAGTGGCTACAGGAAAAGGTTGATTGGGATTCCTAATCAATCATTAATAGAGAAAATGTTTACATTTTCAATCATAAAACTCATTTACTACTACAGATCTACTGTAAAATTGGCATCTGGTATAGGACATGAATTAATAGTGCCATAAATAGACATATAGTGAATTATTAAAAATATATTTAAAAATGATATAATATAATTATTATATCAAAATGTGATTTAATTTTTGATATTAATGATAACAATAATAATTTTGTTGTTTTAATAAAATTATAATATTTTCTAGGAATTTGGATAATAATAATAATAATTAATAATGTTA